CAAGAACCACCAAAAAATATCGGTACGTGAACGGGACAGAGCAGATACCGAAAAGGGGTCGATACCGAGCAGTGGGTCAAGATGCAAAAAAATTGGGACAAAACCAGCAGGGAAAACCCAATTTCAAAGCTTTGCTCGAAATTAATTTAAAAATTTACCAGAAAGAGAGCGAGGTAGATCGATAGAGAGAGGGAGAGAGAGCCAGAGAGAGAGAGAGAGAGAGAGAGAGAGAGAGAGAGAGAAAGAGAAAGAGAGAGGGGCGAGAGATATGCAGAATGCTATCCTGGAGCTAGATTGGACGAGTGAAGTTTCGGGTTAAATAATTTTACAAACTAGTTTGCTTATTTTTCACACTTGTAAACCCTCAGAAGACTTAACCCAAATATTTAGCTTTTTTAAAATGAACTACAACCCGTCTCTTCCGGCAACATTCGGCGTCTCCCCATCGAGCCCATATTTGCACAAAGAAATGGCATAAAATCGTCTGGCCGAGCGCCAGTGCTTTTCTAAGTTTAATCACAACCCGGAAATCGCATTGATCTGGACAGAGACCTCAAATTTCTGATTTTTTTATTATTTTTTCTATTAAAAAGTTCCATAATGAAGAAGCAACGAAAGAGGGGTGAGTGATTATGGTTTTTTGAGAATTAAATTCCGCAAAAATCACCTGAAAAACGGAGGTATGAATAATTCGATGCAGCATGGTCCAGTCAGCCGATGAGACGATTTTTCGATATTTGCCCAAATATTGGCGAGGCTTTAGATAAGGACCGGCTTAGGGTGTGAGGGTGGACCGGGGAAAATCTGGAAATGGGCTGTCCCGTTTTTAAATTATTTTACTGCAATTTTTAAGTGAAAAACCGTGTCTTACTTTACAACAATTAAAGGACGCTTTGCGCGCAGCTTCATGGCACTAGCTGGAAAAGCTTATTAGTACCGCCTGGTACGCTGCAGATACACTGAAAAACTTGAATTTAACCTACTAGCAAACTAGGGCAACGATGAGATAACATTTTATTCTGAACAGGCTGGCGTTTTCCAAATTTGCCTAACTCAGGTCCTCGGGTCCACCCAAAATCCGGTTGGAATGTATTCTACCTTTATTTGTGGGTGCATGTAGGTTGGTTTGCTTGGTGACGCGCAGGAAATCGAATGGAAACGCGACGCAACGCGTACCGCACGACGCGGCAAGTGGAAATCGAGTGGAAACCGGGCGGATCCGGTCGATTTCCAACTGATTTACCGTACATCCACCCGCAATCCGGTCGATTTCCACGTGGAATCCGGTCGCGTCCGCTACTGGAATTCCGATCGATTTCGCGAGCAGATGCCGACCGGATTTCGGGTGGACCCGAGGACCTGAGAATACGTTACGATACGTTCGAGAACAATCGATTTCAAAATGACCTAATTTGGTGTTATGTTCCGTCTGGTCCGCCATTTCGGCTTGGTTAGGGAGTGGCCATATAGCCTCCCTCGGGCCCGGATGGGCAAGCGGGCGTGGCATATTGGTAGTGCGCTTGCCTACCGAACTTTTGGATTGTTTACGCGTGGGTTCGATTCCCGATTGGAAATGAACTTTTTGCGTTTTGCTTTCTTACCCAATTGGCTATGATTTCGGGTAAAAATAAAAACAAAAAACTAGGAACACCAGGTATTTCTGAAACTTTGAGAATAGTTTTGCAATAGTGCCACGGGAATCTTCTTACTCGCCGAAATTTTCAACGTGATTGCCGTTCTTTTTACGTTTTGAATACTGTCGAAACCGATCCGGGTATAATCGATCAAAAAGTACTATTTAGGTCTTGCAAATATTGTTCCATGGCGTTTTAAAAGGCCTTCCATTAAAAACCACCTCTAAAGCCGGACTGTCAGGGATTTTGCCTCAAAAATGCACTGCGGCTTCCCAATATCGCGATTTTGAAAAATCTAAAAACTGATTAAAATCAACGCAGGATTCGTCAGAAAGTGCGGTCCCATTATGAAAAACCACCCTCATCTCTTCCTTTTCCCTTGTTAGTGTTCGATGATTTTTCGGGGGTGTTGCTGCATTAAGGAGACGCTTGGTATTCTCAGTATCGGACCTAAATTCTCACGAGGTCTTATACAAGGTTAAACGACTTTCTTAGGGGTTTTTTTTAGTTTAATGCAGAAGCCATAGCCCCCAAAATTTCAGGCATTTCTTCCCGTCAATCCAGAGGCTATTACGAGCGTCGTTTTGTTTGAATTAATAGCATTCGAAAATGCATAATTTTTAAAGATATGTAAAGATACGTTGCTTGCTCCTTTAATGAGGTAGAGGTATTTTCTAGCTTGCAGGAAATGTACGTGTTTTAAAGGTCAGTCGAACGCTTTGGTCATTTCCATATGTTGCTCTCACTCCCCTCTCTTCCTCTCTCTCTCTCTCTCTCTCTCTCTCTCTCTCTCTCTCTCCCTCCCTCCCTCCCTCTCTCTTTCTCTTTCTCGCTCTCTCGCCTGTTTTGCCAAAAGTCTATGACCCCCTGACCGCCACCGTAATATTTTCCAGCTTCCGGGCTCTCTGCTAATCACTTCAGCTCACCCCCTAGCTAATCCAATAAGCCCCCGGGAGCAGCTCATTGGCTGCGGGGCTGTAGATGAGTGATGGCGGCTTCCATTCAAAATCACTCCCACAGAACCCGGGCCAAAAGAAGGCCCGTTATCTGCTGGCGCTTGTATCGATGCGTAGTCCTCGCCCGTCTCTTCCCCCTTCCCGTCTTTGACGAATAAATGCCCCCTATAAATTTTTTCCAGAGTGCCATTGATGTTATTTGCGATTCGGCGCTGATTCTGGGCCTTTTTTGAAGTTTTTTTCTTGGGAATTTGCATGGCTTTTGACCATGAGAAATCCGAGCGCCAATTAGTTTGAGAAAAATTTTTGTCGCTAGCTTTGCTTCTCTTAAATTACATTATTTTGAGCTGTGCAAAACTCTTAGTACAGGGTGTCCCAATAAAAAAGGTCACGCTGGCATTTTGCTATTTCAAATCCGACCGACTTGAAATTTTGCACAGAGGTGCGGAAAGGAATTTAAAATGTTCACAGAAACTTTCAGCCCGATCGATACAATAGTTTTCGAGTTATTGTAAAAATACTGTTTTTCCCACACTTTAGCTTCATTTTTTCGGCTATCTTTTTGGACTTTGCATCAATTAACATAAATTTCCGGCTCTAAATCCCTTATTCTTCTTAACATCGGGGTCGTTAGCCCTTGTTAAAAAATACTTAAATAGCCTATTTTCGGCCCGAATTTTGCTAAATAAAAAATTCCTAGGATAAAAAAGGGTCGGCGCTTCATTTTCTCCATACCTTCCAGGGCTCAATTCCGGCGGAATCCAGGTGAAAAACGTAAAATAAAGTTTATTTTTGCTATAACTCGAAAACTACTGTACCGATAGAGCTGAAAGTTTCTGTGAACATTTTGAATTTCCTTCCACACCTCTGTGCAAAATCTCAAGTCGATCGGATTCGAAATAGCAAAATGCCAGCGTGACCTTTTTTATTGGGACACCCTGTATATTCTTAATTCGCTCTCCAATAGCCTTAACAGAATTTCGAAAAATAAAGGAAATCCCGAAAAATAGCCGGCCCACCCCATTTTCAGGGTTTTTTTTTTGATTTGTTATATATTTCTTAAAAATTCTGCTTCGGTTTGGAATTAAAATTCGTAGGATATTTCTTGATGCCCTACCGGGGCGCGACGTTGCAGCCCGAAAAAAATAATGAAATAGAAAAATCCCCGACATTAAACTCCCCCGCTAACGAACCGGTACCATTACATGAATTGTCATTACATGAGCAGAACCTGAATTCCAGCCATAATCCCGACAGCCATAATGTGATATTTTCGGCCATTTTACCCATAAATGGTTTTAAAATCGGGGCTTTCTGGGTGTCGGTATTTTGGCTGTCCGGATTATGTATGTCGGGATTTTGGAGGTTCCCCCTTCCTACTAATACCGATTGTCGCGCATCCTCGAGGGAGGAGTTAATATTTCACTTACTGTCGTTTTGCTTATTCGTCTAACAATTATTATTTCCATATTAAGCGTCAAAAAAAATTTTCCAACCGTTCTGAGTGGTTTAGGGCATGCATGTGGTACAGCCTATACCTCACCCAGACTGAGCCAGCCGCCAACCAGCGCACACTGCTCTATTTTCTGAGTAATTTTTGGCTATACAAAAATCAAGATGGGCATTCCAAAGAAGATGTTACAAGGAAGCCACAAAAATCGAAAAATTTTTTTTGTAAATTTGTGCATATCTAATTGCTAACGCAATTAATGCAAAAATATTCATAAAAATCCGTCCCCAAATTTCGCTAATCATTCTGAACCGCTAGGCTTTAATCGAATTGAAGCACGCCGGAAAGGGGCTTTGCCGTTAAATCAAACTAATCGGTTTGTCTTGATGCGTGTATGTCTCGCGCTCTCTCTCTCTCTCTCTATCTCTCTCTCTCGTTTTCAGCAGTTATCAGATGACGCCCGCCATGTAGATGTTTCAGCCCGAAACATTCGATGTTATAACTTTGCACATTTTTTTTACGCCTTTTTGTAGATGATCGGACAGTTTCCAACCTAATTAAATTAGCGGAAAAAAGCGGTAGCACGGGATTCCAGATTTTTGGGATGTCGAGCGGAGCCTCATGTACTCTCGGTGGTGCTGCGGAGTCCGGATAAAATTTCAATTGAATCCATAACCGTACCTTACTTTCCGATCTAAAAATCTCAATTTTTATGAGGTCTTGAAAAATGACATTTCATCGCTTTTTTGGTAATTCTAGAATTTTACAATAATATCCTCTTATCTAGGGGTTTTTCCACAAGGACGATCAGCTAGGCAAGAGAATTTTACGACTAGCGCAGGGGTGTTTCCAGGCGTCTAGAGGAGCATTCCGTAGTAAAGTGGCACCAATAGCCCTGAAATCCACAGCAAAACGTAGACTTCTAGCAGTTCGGACCCCGGCCAAACCTCCGCTTTAGGTATGACAACAGATGTGTGGGCGCTGGTACGTGGAGACAACGAGCGAGCACTTGAGGAATATTTGGAGGGCTGCGAGGGCGAGGGGCACGTAAGCGCTTTATTAACATTTAAGAATATCTACCTCTCTCTCTCTCTCTCTCTCTCTCTCTCTCTCTCTCTCTCTTTCTCTCTTTCTCTTTATCTCTCTCTCACTTTCTCTCGCTCTCTAAAACTCGCCATTTTGTAGAAGCTAGAAGAAGTCTCCCGGCAACTTGACAAGGCCACTGCCGAATCGAAGAGGCGTTGCACCGAGCTGGAGAAGGCCATTTTGCTGGAGGCCCAAAACGTAAGTAGGGGTTGCTCGGAAATTGGAGACTTTAGCCTAAATGTTTAGTTCAAAGTCGAGATCCTCGCACGGCAGCTGAGCGTCGAGCGTCATATACACGCTTTGGTGATCACGAGAAACGCGAAGTACTTTAATAAGGTAAGGGAGAGAGAGAGAGCACGAGAGATAGAGAGAGCGAGAGAGAGAGCTAAAGAGAGATAGGGCGCGAGAGAACAACAAGAGAGAGAGAGCACGAGGAAGAGAGATCGCGATAGTGAGCTAGTGTTAGATATTGAGGATGAGACAGAGAGACAGATTGAACCCGAGGGAAAGAGAGAGCACGAGGAAGAGCACGAGAGGTAGTGAGGGCGAGAGATCGAGAGAGAGAGCGTGAGCAAGAGAGTGAGAGAGCGATACAAGGATAGATAGCCAGTATTTCTTTCTGATCCCTTGACTCATTCCCACCCACCTCCACTCACCCCAAAATCTCCATAAAAACCGCGGCGTTTAATGCGGCTTACCCGGGGAATTCTCGACCTTATTAGGGGGGTCTGGCTGCTATCTGGGTTGGGCTTTCGCCGAGTTGAGTGTATGTGTGCCCATTCTTTGGCGATAAGGCCGCATCTTCTGAATTCGGCCTGCTGCCCGCATTCCCCCGGCCCCAGGCTCCACTCCCCTTGATTGGCTTATCGATTTGCGTATTTTTAAACGGACTCGGAAGGGTTGGCTGCGGATTTGGCTGGTTATGGTTTTGGCCTACTGATTTACCGCGTCGCGACACGCAACACGTGACCAGCCTTTCCCATGCGTAATTGATTACGGTGTTCGAAGTGGCTAACGCGTTGCGTGTCGCGGGTGCCAGAGACTTACTCTCTCTTTCTCGCTCTCTCGCTCTCTCTCCCTCTCGCTCTCTCTCCCTTTCGCTCTTCTTCTCGTTCTCGCTATCTCTCGTGGTCTTGTCTAATGCTCTTCCTCCTTATCGCCATCCCTTGTCCTCTTTCGCTCTCTCTCTCTCTCTCTCTCGCTCTCCCGTGGTCTCGTGCTCTCTTCTGCCCTCGGGTTCTCTCTATCTCACTGTCTCATACCAATATCCATCTCTCTCTCTCTCTCTCTCTCTCTCTCTCTCTCTCTCTCTCTCTCTCTCTCTCTCTCTCCTCTGGCTTTCTCTCTCACCTTCTCTCTTGCTCTTGTTCACTCTCTGTCTTTTTCTCTTGCTCTGTCGCTCTCTCGCTCCCCCTTGGTGGGCTTTTTAAATAATAGGTTTTTTGGAAAGTTATTCTTGCCCTTTTTTCCTCGGTATCAAATCCAATGTTGTTTTTCACAGTCTGTTTGCTTTTAACTCCCCGCATTTATTGGCTTCACCGCGGACAAGCTTTCATTTCCGGCCACTCAGCCAAAAATTCCCAGCTTTTGCAGCTGCAGCGCACTACTAGCTTTTCCTACACCCCGTTAAAGACCCGGCTTGACCTTTATCACTGGAAAGGCTGTGGGCGGCTGTAAAAATTATTATCTGAAACGGGCGAGGAGCCTCAAAGTGAGTGCCTCACCCAGCAATCAATGTTTGTTTACGATTCCAGGGCGATGCCTTGAAAATGCTTTTTGCCTTTGAAAAAATGTTTTTAGGATGCTTTCGATAGCTGCCTCACTCTCTGTACCTCTCCCTGTCTCGCTCTCTCTCTATCTCGCTTTCTCTATCTTTCTCTCTCTCTCGCTGACTCTCTCACCAGCTCTCTCTCGCTCGCTCACTCTCTCTCCGTCTCTCTCTTGATTTCTCCCTCGATCTCCCTACCTCTCTCGCTGACTCTCTCACTAGCTCTCCCGCTCTCTCTCGCTCTCTCTCTCGCTCTCTCTCCCGCTCTCTATCTCTCACTCTCTAGCGTTTCCCAACGAACCGCAACGCCCTCCCACCCGCGTTGTGCTTCGCTATCTCCGATTTTCAGCGATTTCCGACCAGCTCCAGTGGACGCTCCCTTCGCGCCGACTATTTTGAACAGAAGCGGCTGCGAGAGGCAAGATTTTTGAGCTCTACGAAAACTTGCGTGGTTCCAGAAGGAACGCCAGGCGCTCACGTCAAATAGGACGCCGAAGGTCGAAGAAAAGCCGGAAAGGTAGGCGCATGCAGGTTTTTTAGAGTTTCTAAACTTCGGCTCTAAATTGGATTAATTAGACTTGAAGTACCTATTAGGGAGACTTTTACAGACCTCAATCCTTGGAGAAGCTTGGCCCCGTCAAGGAGCCGCCACCGCTGACCCTTTTGCAAAGGATCAAAAAGGCAAAAATGTCAGGTGAGTAGCAAGGGCTTATTTAGATATTACACATATATAATATCAATAATTATCACATATTTATTTTATTGCATACTTAGCTTAAGTTTCCTAAGGTTTAAATTATAAAACATCGATAAACTAGATTTTTTAGGTCAACTCCCAGCTCATGATCCACCACCTGTACCTGCTGGAGACGCGGTATGTCAGCGAGGGAGAGGGAGAGGGAGAGAGAGAGAGAGAGAGAGAGAGAGAGAGAGAGAGAAGAGAGATGGATTTCCGGCCTTTAAGAGTCCAACCACAATTCAACCGCCCTCCCTGGCCTACCATGAATTTCGGGAGCAAGTCGAGGTCGGGAAAATGGTGGACCGTGTCAATTCTGGAGCTTATCGGTCCGTTTTACCATTGCGACGGTTTTGCCGTGACGCGACACGCAGCGCGAGCTTGTCTTGGTGCTTTCGGGCTCAATCCATTACGCAGGCTAGGGCGAGAATGTGCGCTGCGTTTCGTCTTGCGTGTAGCGTTGCGTGCCACGTTGCTTGACACGCTGCGCCTTGCGTTGTGCGTCGCGTTGCGAGCGACGTCACCTGTCGCGTTTCGTGTCGCGTTGCGTACTACGTTCCGTGTCGCGTTGCGGTTCAGGCCGCGTGGCAGGTTGTGTGTCGCGTTGCGTGCCACGTTTCTTGTCGCGTATTTACAGCACGTCGATTTTCAGAGAACAACGCGTACCCTCAATACTACAAGAGGACACTGTTGGCGAGCAGACTGAGGTGAGCACGAGCTTTTTAAACCTCTTAAGCACCGTTCAGCACGACCAGCCCGTCAGCCACATCCGCCAAATCCATCACGAGGCCACAAAGTCGCCCTCAATCCAGTCCACCGACACCTCGTCCTCCCACGAGAAGCCAAAGACCAAGATCACCTCCAAAGTGCGCTCCGCCATCCTGTCCACAGCCAAGAAACTGACCCGGGGTCGTAGCGGGAGCTCTGGGTCTGGGGGGAGTCGCAGGTCCACGCAGGAGATCCACATCATTTCTCAGGCCGATGCGCATCCCGGTGATCCGGATAATATCGAAAATCGGCTCCAAGAGACTTTGGTCCTTGACGTTCCACCTCCCGTAGAACTTCATCGCAGTAGAGAACTAGAAGAAACGCATTCAAGCAGTTCGACCGGATTGATTTTGCAAACCGAGGTCTCGGCCACCGTCCATGTTCATCGACAAAGCGATCAGATCCACCTTGAGCACCACCAGGGGGTGGATCATCTTCAAGGAGTCGAGCTGAGACGTGAGCATGATCATTATGATCCTTATAAGGATTCTGATGAGATGTACGAGCAGTATACGGCTCCGAAGGGTGTTCTTGGGACTGGACAGGGTGCGTCCGTATCATTTGGGAAAGACGAGAAGTTCGAGCAGTACAACGCTCATAAGACCATCGTTGGGGTTGGCGCTTCACCGACTTCAGGTGGGATCGGGCATGGTGCGTCCATAACAGTTGGAAAGACCGAGGTCCTCGAGCACCACAGCGGGCAGAAGAACATCATTGGGATTGGAGCTTCGCCGGCTACTGAGAGGATTTTAGTTGGACATGGTGCATCTGTCACTCTGTCCGCAACACCTGAGAAACCCCACGTTTTCGAGCAGTACAGCCCTCCGACAAACATTGTTGGGCTCGGAGCCTCACCTACCGGAACTTTGCCGATAATAGGCCAAGGCGCGACACGAACAGGTTCAAGCCCAAAGCCCTATGACCGCTACACCCCAACAAGCTACTCCCCGTCCACAAAATCGCCAACCTTTAAAGTGCCACCCATCCCCACCGAGGCCACCGAGCCGTACAACCCCTATGCGGATGTTGTCCTAAAGAAGGGAGATGATCAAAAGTCGCCTCACTACAACGCCTACGGTGCTGACGCCGAGATCGCTGCCGCTTCACAACGTCACCTCATCTCCCCGGAACCACAACTCGACGAATCCGGATATGCAATTCCCGAAAGGGCATTATCACCGCCCCCTGATGCCCCGCCCACAGAGAAGAAGTGGACCTGGAGGGGCACAACAACTTCGGCCAGTTCAAGGAGCAGAACCCCCACAGACTACGAGGTTGCTGATTACATGATGGAGACGGCGAGGTTGGATGATGCTCGTATCGAGTACAGAGCCGTCGATGACACCCCCAGGATCAGTGAGCGTGTCCTCAGCCCAGTCGAAATGGAGCGCGTACTCAGCCCCGTGCTAAGCCGGGAGCACGAGCTGCAGACGAAACTCCACTATGATGACGACCTCTCCGAAAAGCTCAGAAAATCACTGCAAGAGGCCGAGAGATCGCTGGTCCAACCAAAGGAGAGGGCAGTCGATGTACAACACCGCAAGTTTGAGGCATCATCAAGCGTTTCGTCCACGGATTTTGTGCAGGAGGTGATGTCGAGGAGGAGCTTCAACTTGGATGGAGCACCACATAGAGCTGTGCCGAGTACGGTGACTCCCCCCTCGACGCCGTTGACCGCGTAGGTTGAAGGTGTTCAAGTTAAGTCGATCTTTTAGGACCATTACATCGACGGTGAATCCCTTGGCTGCGTACGCACGTCAGGAGAGTCATCTGGAGACGCACGATGAACATGCTGAATATGATGAAGTGACGGTGGAAAGGGTGCAGCAACAGAAGGTGGGTGAGAGAGAGGAGAGAAAGAGAATATGTTCCAGATGGAGCCCATCTACTCCGAAGTCGCCAATACCCACAGCCCCGCCAAGCCGAAGCCCATCTTCAAGCCAAAAACCGAACCCACCGAGCAGGGCAGATCCCAGCTTCTCGAAGAGATCCGCAATCGGAAATGGAAACCCGAACCGGTGGTCCTCACCAACTACACGGTACACACCGAACCATCACGACCCACCAAGCCGGTACCCGCGCCACGCAATCATGAATATGACGAGGTGGCCAGGGAGGAGCCAGTGCGACAGGCGTCGCATCGAGAGGTATGTGTTTTAAAGGTGTTAGGAAGCGCCAGATTCGACGTATTTGGTAGACTAAGTCTCGTCAGTGACTGCAGCTCATCCGACGAAACCCCTCTTTTAGGTATTCGGCCATTCCCAACTCTCCGGAACCTACACCTCCACCGTCGAGACACACCTCGGCGAGGAGAACATCTACGAGGAGATTGATCACTATCAAATCGTGCCCGCCCAACAGAACTCTGCGACCTCCCAGAAGACGTCGGCAGCGCCTCCCCCTCCCCCCACCTCGGCCCCACCTCCTCGTGATATGCACCGGGCTCGCGAGGAGTTTGCCCAGCGTCACGATTCGAGTGCTGAGCGGAAGTTTAAGGTAAGTAGGCTTAGTGGACTTCGTTTCGGCTCAGGCTTAGGCCTAGCTTAGCTTTCGCTTAACTTTGGCTTAGCTTGGTCATAAACCTAAATTTCAACCTCTTTTCAGGGCAACAAGTACGAAGACGAACCAGCCCCCGAACCCACCGAAGATGAACACCTTGACTGGGAGCTAATCTACACGACGAACGCCATCCGCCAGATGAGCCGCAACAACAAGTGGAGGGAGAGCATGCTCAACAAGGACAAAATCCCGCCCGTCCCCAAGAAGACGAAGGAACTCCCCGCCGATGTGCTGCCCAAGAATTCGCCATTTACAAGACCGGCGGAGAGCCCGAGCTCGGGGAGGAAGACGCCGACTTCGTGGACCAAGAATGAGGGCTTCACGTTTTCGGTGCCGGGGATACAGAGAATCGCCGTGGAGGATGAGATGGAAGAGGAGAGGAGCAAGAGAGCAGCGCCAGAAGCCTGGGAGCATGAGCGTGTCGGGGTCAAGCAGGTGCCAACGAATATTGCACGAGGTGAGGGTTTGCTAGAAGCTTGTTCATCTACCGAAAAAGCGGAAATAAATCCATTTAGGTCATCAAATCACGGTGCCGCGAGTGGCCCAACCCAAGGAGGTGGTGGAACCCCAGCCGGTAGATCGTCAACCCACTCACCAAGCCCCTGTTGCTCCTCGACGTGCCACTACGGAAGAATCCTACCACTTCCAAGGTGTCAAGAATTTGCGCCAGCAGTTCTCGTGAGTTTCGAAAAATCCCGACATGTTCAAAACCCCTATTCGAAACGTCGAAATTTCAAAATTTCGAGAAGTAACCAATTTTGGCATTATTAGTTTTAACGTGGTGAATTTCGACATTTAGCAGTTTCAAAATTACGGAAATTTCTACTTTTTGAAATTAATTGTAAGCGAGCTTGACCAGCTCCATTCCAGCTCCCCAGAACCAACGCCATGGCGTCGTACCCAGTCCGTTGGAAACGTGTACGAGGTGCCCAGGGCCAGGCTGGAGAAAACCGATGATGTGAGGACAAGACCTGGGCCTCTGAGTGAGGTTCCGAAGGGGAGACCCAGCTCGACCTCATCGCTGTTGGATAAGGCAACGCCATCGACACCGATTAAGCAACCAGCACGGACCCATCAGGATACTCCGAGGGTCGTCAGGAAGGAGGTCACCTCGCCGCTTCCTCGGATTCAGAGTCCAAGGCCTCGGCCCGTTGATTTGAGCCCGTTGACGGCTGATGCTCAGCAGAGGTATTGAGTTCCTTTCGCTCTCTCTCCCTCGCTCTCTCTCTCTCTCTCTTTCTCTCGCTCTCGCTCCACCACCGATTTTTTTAGATTCTACACCCTACGCTCACCAAGCCCACGAGCCCAAACGACACCAAGCCCACTCGCTAGGTGAGTCTGACTCAAGCTTATAAAACCAAATTATTCAGGTCCGAGGCAGAGCTTCGAATTGGTGACGGCGCACAACCAGACCAGCATTTCCACTCCAAGCCCTCAGAAAGAGACGAGCACGAGGTTCGACACCAGGAGCACCACCCCGAAAAAGGTGAGTGCACGAGTAAAGGAACCAAAGTGGCTTTTCGAAACTATGAGATTCGCAAAAAATTATTACCCGTAATTTAGAAAATCACTACGAGGAGATCGAACACCGTGAAGTTGTCGGGAAGCCTGAAGTGCAGCACCAAAAACCGGTGGAGCATCACTATGATGAGCCTGCCAAGGAAAATGGCCATCACCCGCATGGGCCCGACTACTCACCGTACCCACATCACTACGAACACACCTATGAACCTCATGTACCGTATGGACTGCCGCATCATGGACATCACTACATACAACATCATCATGAAGACGGACGGAGACGTCATGGGGAAAATCGAGAGGATAGAAGATATGTACACTACGGACATCATCATATACAATATCATCATCGGGAACAGGTTCAAGGTAGGGAGAGAGAGAGAAAGAGAGAGAGAGAGAGAGAGTGAGAGTAGAGATCAAACTTACGCTACTTTACAGATCATCACCATGAAAAGCCTCAACCCCACTACGACCCCTACCATACGAAAACCCGTGACGGAGACCGTTTCGTACTCCTTGAAGCCTCTAATCTCCCTTCCGTATCACCAGCCCCTCCCACAAATCCACCTTCCGACACGAAGCGGAAGCCCAAACAGCCCCCCATCCTCCCCGCCGAGGAGCCCGAGCCAGAATTTGTGAGGACCCAACGCGAACTTTACCGAAAAATAGAGGAAAACCGAAAGACGGCTGAGCAACTAACGAAACAAGAAGCCGAACAACGAAAGGCCGATCGAGCCCTAGCCGAACAGGAGGATAGACGAAGAGAAGAAGAGAGAAGGAGAGCAGATATAGAGAGGAGAATGAGAGAAGAAGCTGAAGAGGAGGAGAGGGTCAGGAGAAAGCGAGAAATGGAGAGGGAGAGGCTGGAGGAAGAGGATAGAGAACGGAGACGAAGAGATGAGGAGAGGAGGAAGAGGGAGGAGGAAGAGGCCAGAGAGGAGGAGGAGAGGAAGAGGAGGCAGATGGAGATCAAGGAGAAGGAGCAGGAGGTGCGACGGCTGGAGTTGGAGCGGCTAAGGGCTATTGAGGTAGGCGAGGAGAGGTCAGAGACCATTGAGGAGAGCTAGCAGAGACCATTGAGGAACGAATCTTATCCTCCAAAATTTTAGACCGAAAAAGAGAATCGTCGGCGGGCGGAGGAGCGTGAGAAGAGGAGAAGGGCCGAGGAAGAGGAGGAGGAGCAGAGACGCCAAGATGTAGAGCGACGAGAGGAGGATGATCGCCTCTGGCAGCTTGAGCAGGAGAGGAAGTATGAAGAGGAGATGAGGAGGAAGCGGGAGGGCAGACTGCATTCACCGACTTACCGTGATGCCGACATTTCAAGAACCGAGGAGCACATCTACGATCAGGTGTATGAGCCGTTGGAGAGACCGGAGAGAATGGAGAGAATCGAGGAGACAAGAACGCAGCAACGGGTAGGTAGCATTGAAGGGACTGGGAAGGTAGAGCGATGGATTTCATAAGCAGAATTTTGCCATTCCAGCAACATGGCGGGTATCACTTGGAGCACTACGAGGACGAGGAGATTGAGAAGACGGTGATACCGGTGTATGGAGGGCATTTGGTACATGATGGCCGAGATGTGGGTTTGAGAGGGAGCAATGACGGCAAGAATCTTGTAGATGACCGTGTTCCCGATCGCTACAGCGCATCATTACGATGAGGTTCACTACCAGTTGGCTCCTGAGCAACGACCGCCCGGAATTCCGGAGCATATCGACTTGACGTGGGTTTTAGGTGTTGCTCTAACACACGATCTCTCTCTCTCTCTCTCTCTCTCTCTCTCTCTTTCGTCTATTCAATCACTCTTTAGTAATGCCGCAGAGGCAACCGAACACCATCTAAAGTCAGTTTTGCTTCCGCTTTGCATGCGCTGCCTCTCACTCCCCGACCTCCTCGACCTCCCCCAGATTGCTGAAAATCCCCGATTTTAGGAATGCCGAAGAGGTGACGGTAGAGACGAAGACCAAGGTGGTCACCATCGTCAAGCGCCGGAACGTCACGTAAGAAAAATCGGAAGTCGGTTGAGCAGCAAAATTTAGGGGCGAAATCTTCGAGGAGGAGTATCTGACTGAAAACTCGACGTTTCCGACATCCGTTCATCTGACGACGCCTATTCATCGGCTATATGAGTGGGTTTGGTGAGAAAGAGAGAGGGAGAGTGAGAGAGAGTGAGAGAGAGAGAGGGAGAGAGAGTGAGAAAACGCTTCCAACACTGTTTTCAGCTCCAACACCCCAACGTCACACTACCATACACCCGCCGGGGACCAGGTTCATCTACAAAGAGCTGGTGCTACACTTGGCCGAGGCGCCAGCCCGATCTACGACACCGTATACGAAGGAACGAAGGGCATCGGGTAGGTAGATGGTACCGTAAACGCAACTTGAAAGTCAAAAAAGACCACTAAAAATCGCAACTTTGGACATAGCTACGCGACGATACGCGGCGCGTCCGCTGCGCGTCGAGTTACGCGTAATAAAGGTATCGCAGGAAAATTTTGCATTTTCAAACCCGCCCCTCCTGTCACCATCCCTTTAAGCCATCACCTAAAATCCATTTTTCGACTCCCTTCTGCTACTCGCATTACCATGAATGGGGCGAGGTTCATATTTCGAATGAGCCCTCGGGGGGGGCACAGAAGCCTCGTCCACCCCCCCCCTCCACCCGGGGCCCAGTGAATGTCCCATTTGGGGCCCACGGCCTGGCAGACAACCCTTCTCGCAAATCTGGGTCTTGTCCGGCTATTGATCCCTGGATGTGTGTGGACAAAACCTGCATCCAGTGTCAGCCTTCGATTGCTAAAAATTGTTATTTTCCAAGTGGATGCTTTTTAGCTTTTTTTGGAATTTGCATCAGTCGATTGATGGCTTCCTGGTTCCTTTAAAGACAGCGGAGAGATATGGTTACGGATTTTGTTGAATCTGTCTGCTCGAGGTTCTTTTTTGCCGCAACCGCGACACGTGAAGCGCAAACTTTCCTGCTTCTTTCCGGTCGTCCCCTTAAAAAGCGATAGAATTATGAGAGAGAGCGAGAGAGAGCGAGAGAGACAGAGAGGGGGAGAGCGAAAGAGAGAGAGAGAGAGAGAGAGGGGAGAGAACAGAGAGAGAGAGAGAGAAAAGGAGAGAGAGAGAAAGAGCGAGGGAGAGAGAGAGAGTACAAACTTTTTTTTCATAAATTTTGCAAATATTGATCTACATAAGGAGAAGTAGTATTCCGTGGCGAAACGACATTCCGAAATTTGAGATTCCGCCCTCAGTCGTTTCATTGAAATTTTTCCGCGCCCGTCGGACTCAAGTTTCACCAACTAAAAAAATGACTTTTTCGCAAATTGTCTCTGCGAAGCCAAGTTGGACGTTGAGCTTCAGTCGAAGCCTAAGCGCAGCTATGGCTTAAGCTAAGTAAAGCTAAGCCGGGCGTTGAGCCTCAGCCTCAACCTAAGCAAAGCTTGGCTTAGGCTTCTATGGCTACGCGTAAGCCAATTTCTAAGCCTACGATCATTTTCAGGTTTTGCCCGATTTCCAAGCCTAATCCCAAGCCTAATGCGCTTCAAAAACGCCCCAATTCCGTATTTCCCCCTCTTCCAGCTAGCTTTGCGGGTATGCGGGATCGATCGTTTGTGTGTGTGAGTGTATGGGTCTGTTGGTTGGGGGAATGGCTGGAAGTGAGTCCCTGCCCACTCTCTATCTCTAGCCCCTCCTCCACTCTCTCGCTCTCTCGCCCCCCGCACCCTCCCGAAACATCCTCACTTGTTTACTGCCCCCCTTTTACGCATCCGGCCACCCGGTCGCCTTGGGGCCAACCGGCTAATTTGGGTGTTAGTCGGGTTTTTGGCATGTTTTGGGGCTTACTTTGGCTTACGCTTAAGCTTAGCTTAATGTTAAGCTTTAACCGGTAGCTTTTTGATACCTTTAACGGGCCAGGAGCTTCAGGTTATGGATTTTCCTGTTTTCTAAAGTTTTCCTCGATTTGCTATTTGTTTTAATACCTTAGCTAAAACTAGGATTTTGGTTTAAGTTAGAGCTTCACATATTCGCTTTTTTATACCTTTAGACCGTCGAAAAACGTCAAGATACAGATTTTTGAAGCCTTGACCCGAGTTTTTTTGTTATTTTCCAATTTTCTATCTTGAATTTTGTAGCTTTTTTAGCTCGTTTAACTTTAATTAACCTTAACGAAAGGACGGATGTGACTCGTAGGTGTTTTTTCTAGCTGCATGTCCCTCGAAAAATCTAGATTTTTTTCAGCGAGCTCACTCTAGTTTTCCCGTTTTCTAAATATTGCTCTACTTGGTAAACCCGAAACCTTGTGCTCAAGAAAAATCCAACGAAACCGGTCGATTGTCCGCGATTGGCTTCTTTACGACCTCCCAAAAAAACCGCGACCCCGCAGTGCTCGATTACGGATTCATCGAGTCAGAGCCCGCGAACTGCCCCAGCAGCTGTGCCAGTTTTTCTGGCGATCTCTGCTTCCCTAGCTCTCTCTCGCTTTCTCCCTATCTCGCTCTCTCTCGCTCTCTCTAGCATTCCAAATTTTCCATAACTTGTGATGCGCGTTCTGTTTATTCACCCGTGTGTTCCCGGGGCACGGGTTTTTTTGGCGGATTATTCCGGGCGCTGGTCTCCTAGGTAGAGAGAGAGAGAGAGAGAGAGAGAGAGAGAGAGAGTGAAAGAGAGAGAGTGAGTGAGCTACATTAAGAGAGAGAGTTTTTCGAACGTTTCTCGCTTTACGTTGTCGCCCTCCCTTAAACCCACCAAAGCCCTAGTCCAACCCATTTTTCTGCCCTTTAACCCGAGGGCATGTTCTCGGCTGCTTCTCCTCTAGCTCTTCCTCCCCAAAAAAGGAGGTCCATCCATCGTGGCGACGCCCCGTCGAGGGCAGCCCGACCCTCGAATGCCCCCCGGGCAGGGAGGGCCAGCCGTTTTCCGGGCGTTTTTTATCCGATTCTCTCTAAATCTCTTTCCTCTCTCTCTCTCTCTCTCGCTCTCCCGCTTCCTCTTAAGGCCATCCCCACAACAATGCGCTGCCCCCGAAAAAGCTGGTCACCCGTTTTTCAAATTTTTAGGCCATTCTAAACGAACTAGAAACTAGTCTAGGAATTATACACGGCATGTAATTATTTCCTTAACCATGCGCCCCATGTCACCATCCCTTTAAAACCCGGAGACGCGTGTTCAGGGGGGAAGAATGTCGATACCAATGTTTATTCTCTGCCTTCCTCTTCCTTCCCTTTTCTTCCCTTCGACCCACGACCACACGATTCTTGTCTCCCCCCACGCAACCGAACGACTCCGAATTTTTCAGGGGGTGTTTATCTCTTCTTACTTGATGCTTGGCTTGTAAAGCTTAAATTTTTCGTTTCGCTTAAAAGCTAATTTCTGAAACCTAACTTCCTTAACTCCGAAAATTCGTTTTTGGAAGTGCTTCTCCAAGCACCTTTGCAAATTCAGGTTCAATATTCCTCAAAAAATCCTGCTAGCTTGCCAGATAGTTCGTAAATCCACCAGTCCTCTCTCCCTCTCCCTCTCTCTCGCTCTCACTCTCGCTATCTCTCGCTCTTTGTCTCAAAATTTTTACACGCACTTTCTTTGCTTGGTAGATTCATAAAAATCTTTCCAGCTCCGGCGCCCTCCCGAACGCTTCCAACTCGGCGCCGCCGCCCCCAGAAGAGCTGGTAGAAAAGAGGTATGTTGGAGAGTGAGAGAGAGAGAGAGAGAGAGAGTTAGAGTGAGAGACAGATACAGTCAGATTGAGAAACCGAAATCCAAACTTCAGGGACCAACCGCAGTACCGCTCAGTTGGGACCAGCCACAGCCCACCACACCAAGACGCTCCGGTAGGTCTTGGAACGGAATTCTACCAAGATTTCTAGCAAAGAGGTCATATCAATCACTTTCAAGGGATCCCCCACCGGCACATACTTTGACCGTAACGGTGAGCTGCGACGGTCGTGGCCGGTGAAGACGTACGACGGCAGTCATCTAGAGCTTGGCTCACATAAGTATCGGCTGAAGACGATGCCAGATCACGATTCTGGTGAGTGAAAGAGAGAAAGAGAGAGAGAGAGGGAGAGAGAGAGAGTGAGAGAGGGAGAGAGAGCGAGCGAGAGAGATAATTCAATTCATGCTATTATAGGTCTTGGCAGCGGTGAGCGCCCGAGTCCCGAACGGAATGGCGACGAGACGGCAGCGTTGCGAGATTGGGACCCGAAAGCTATGCTTGACGCCCTTTACGAGGTTGGTTTTTCTGGCTTTCGTTCTCTATTTCTATCGCTCATTTTATTCTATCGATCTCACTCGCTCGCTCTCTCTCCTTAACACTCGATGCCGCTCTTTCTCTCTAGCTCCCTCTCTCTATCTCTCGCTTTGTCCCCTCTTTCTCTCTCTTCCTTCTCTCTCTCTCTCTCGCTCTCCCCCCCGCTCTCTACCCTCTTAATCCGAAAAACCTATTTTTTTCCAGATTTCTTACGAGCGTCGCGCCGAAACAAAACGGGACCGTTTCGTGAATATGCAGGGTCACGTCGAGGTCCCTTCAGATGAGACAGCCACCGTCGCCGAGCTGGAACGGAATTGGAAGGAGGAATACATGAGGACGAAGGACGGACGGTTGCAGACATTTGTGGTAAGCAATCGTCTCATTCCTAAGAATCCCGAATCAGACTCACTACGCGGGTGAGGCTCCGGTGCAGGATGTCTCCCTACACGGTGTCGAGATCGAGGCGAACAGAGAGGAGCGAACTTTGCACATCCACGGCGGCAAGGAGCATATTAAGATCTTGTTGAGGTCGGTTTGGGAAGAAGCTTTAAAATTCTGTATCAAGGCCGAGAAGAGTCGAAAATTAAAATTTTTTATCGCGTTTTGAAAGGCCAGAAAAAGGCGAGTTTTTGTATATTTTGAACGTTATTTTAGTTACTAAGCGCTCCATATTCCAGCAATTTTCATAAATTATGTTTTACGCATCGAATTAAAAAATTTTGGAATTGCTATTTAGAGCAAATTATCCCAAAAATTCGCGTTTTTTTCACGCTTTATATAACCACGCATTTTGACAAACATATTAGTTTTTGTTTACGGAAATACTCGCCTATTCTTGAGCTTTCGAATGGTGTAAAAATTACTTTGATCGGACGATTCTGACCCGAGATATGGAGTAGTATTTGGAAGGCCTCTGTGCGCACGTCATATGCGTGTTCAGAGGAGCCCTATGTAGTCTTCCCCAATACGCAGCGCTCCTCTAGCCAACTTACCTGGATGTGTTTACCATCTAGATTCTAGAATCAAAAAGTGCGACACGGCCGAGACGTTCGACAAGTGGCGCCAGGCGCTGCTCTCCCACGCCGCCGCCTCGAACCTCGACCAG